CACAACATCAAGTATATTTCATCTAGAAAAAAAAGCCCAATTTGCAGAACTTGGGCAAGCAGTGACCCCATTTTATTTCAGGGAGAAAACAAACCAAAATGCTCAAGGTTATTATGTTTCTTCTTGAATTTTCTCCTATTATTTAAAAATTGATCATAGCCATTTCCTATACATTAAGCTGTATTTTTCACCATGAATAATTCAACTTACGGAATATGCAAGGAATGCATTTACTTGTATTCCTCATATATGCACATGCACAGGAAACCAGAAGTAAAAATTTAAGGGGTTTATTATATTGAGTAAAATATTTCAGTTGTTTCTTCAGTTTGACACAATGCACTATTCATCAGTAGGATGAATCACAATGCTCTTTTTCCAAATTATTGCACCATGACATTTAACCAACTCAAGCAGAAAGAGAAAGTTTAACCAAATGTAAATATGTGGAAATTGCATTCTGCCAAGAGGGAGAGGACTATGCCCTTTGCAAAGTAACAGAAGGATTTTAGTGATCTAAAGTAGCCACAAGTTCAGTCTTACACTTCTGCTGAAAGATACCTTGGCCAAACAGTAAAACTGAAATACTGCACCCAAGTGTATGTTTATGAAGTGCTCAAGCAGGAGGCAGGAATCTGTTTTACAGCTAAACCCAGACAATTAAGTAATGTATTTTTCCATGTAAGTAAAACTGATTCAACTATGGTAGGAACCACATAATTCTTTTGGTGTAAATATCACTTTCAGCAGGATATGATGGGATTTGGCAATATTCTTGTAGGTGAAGCACTTGATAATGCAGATGTCTAAAAGTACCTTTTTTTTTCTTTTGCAATGAATAAGAAGCATAGGATTTGTCATCATGATAATAATGAGATTTTGTCTAAAAGTAACAATCCAAACGAAACCATGGTATCAGAATTCAAAAATGTGATTTCAACAACTGTGAAACATATCACAAAAACTACTTACAGTGACTTCTGCAGCCTGCCTCAGAAGTGCTGTAGGAAACAACTGTAACTGTTTACAAAGCTGATATTTCAAGAAAATCTATTTAAAAAAAAAAATAAAACATACCAACTGACAAAAATGAATAACAAACCATAAACATTATCATTTTGAACAGAATGCTTCTTATGAAATACAAAATGTGTGCAAACCATTAATTCTGCTTTCATTACAGCCAGCTTGGGAAAGAAATGCAGATTGCTTTAGAAAAAAAATATGCTCCCTGTCGTAAAGTAAACGGAATACTCGCATCATTTATGACTTACAGGAAATCTTCCTGCCAAAGAGGAAGATGAAGATTATCATAAAGCTCCTTACAGGCATCATCTAACTTAGCCTAATCGCACCCCTGCAAGGTGTATTAGCTGTTATGCTGTTCTCTGCACACATGGTCAAATGAGAATAAATAGGTTTACTCCTCAAGAGCTCACGGTGATGCGGAGACTTGTTGGAAATCCACCCTGGAGTTCCAGCTCCCTTAGCTCTGCCTTCACAGCTGGATCATCCAGCTCTTATATTGTGTAGAATCTACCCAAGTGCAGGAAAATAAGAAGAATGAAGCAGCCCAGATGCTCTGAAAATTCCATCAAGGCTTCCATTAATAAGAGCTAATAATACAGATAGTCTCTGAGAAGTGAATTAATGTAGTCCTGCCTTTCTTTCCCCTTCTATGACCATTAGATGTTGAAAGTAGGACATAAGCTTTATTTTTGCTTTTTCCTTTTTGATCTATTCAGTTCCCTTATCACTTTACATCCACTTATTTTTCTTATTTTTTTTAAATATACAGATATTCTGGTTGCTATTTCTGAAGGTGTTTATAGACATTAGGAACAAAAATCATTGTAGTAGTATGAAGCAGTAGGCATTTAAGCCTTTTCAATTTCTCTAGCAATCTTCAACTTTCAAATGCCCCAATAAGCCACCACACAAATCTCTATTTTAAGCATGAATACACAACACTTTCTAAACTTCCATATGTACACAGTGAATAGAAGGCAATTACTTGAGCCTTTTGTAAAACAAGGTGATATACCTTAAGGGACATACCCTGTTCTTTTATGTCTAAACCAAAGAAATTAGAGCATTTTCTGAAGTTTCCCTTTCACTTAAGTGTACTGAAAGGAAAAACAAATGGTAACACACAAAATACACAAAAGCCTCTGTGAGCCTTTACTAAAACCACATGGTTTTAGACTTGAGCAAGAAAGGAGAAGACAAAGTGAGTTGTGGTATAAAGAAAATACACTGAGCAATGAAATATATATATTTAGGTGCAATCATAACTAAATCACACTTAGCAGAAGGAAAAATGGTCTGGAGAAAGACCAGATCTCAGGACAACAGGAGAGTGAAGATGCCTCTGCAAAATAGCTCTCAAAATTCCTGCAGATTTGAGTTACCGACTTGGAAATCCTCCCAGGAATCTTTTTGGTGGAATTGATCTCCAAGAAACTTTGTAAGGGATGCTGAGTGTTAAAAGTCCAATTTAAAGCTTTTGACTGAATTCCCTCTAAGGTTCAACACTCAACATTACAGTCTCTTGCCCTACCCTGTCACTAATCCTAAGTGCAAAGATTTCTTGTAGGGTCTGGACAGGGATGAATAACTACAGATGCTTTCCATACATAAACAAAACCATGCAGAAAGAACCCTCTGTTTTCTACCCAAAATACATGCTTCTACAGCTAAACCTGACCAAAGGCTGAAATGGAAGCAGCTGACAATAAATCAGAACTGGTCTCTCACCCAAGTAATATAAATAAGACAAGTATGACTTTCTGAGCCTTTAAAAGTACTTCTTAGCTGCAACATATTTTTGCTGCAATAATAAAAAGTCAAGCTGCCAGAATAATTGTACTCCAGTAGTTCCATGGTAATTTTGCTCTAAGAGGTATCATCTCTTCCAAGTTCTCCAAACCTCTGTAGCATATTGCTGACTTTTACTCTCTCTATATATTAGACTGAAAGGATAATTTCCAGAAATTCATTTTAGCTCAGAGCAGTATTCCACAGCCATTAGTTTTTTACCCATTTAGAATTATTCTCCCTTTCAATTTCTGGGAACTCTATAGTGTTCTGCATTTAACACCCAAAGAGTTAAGCCTTCCTTTATTAACCACCTAGCAGAACAACCTCAAAGTAGCACACCAGGGATCAAAAGTAATCACCAGTATACCAGGTCAGCCATTTTAGTAATTTTCCCATTTAGTCATTTTACCTATTTCTTTGCCTCTTTTGAGTGATATCTTAGTTATCTCCACCTCACACCTTTGAATTGCATGTCAATTTGGTCAGTGTGCTGCACATACCTAAGTGAGAGCATTTGTATCTGTGATACCCTATTTAAAACACACATTAGAAAACACCTAGTAACTTATACTCACACACTCCAGTTTGCCTGTAAGGCTCAAACCTGTGCTCAGTGATGTTCATGCCAATTTTACAGGAAGGTAAATACTGAAGCATCAAGCAATTATGTGACTTAAGCCACTTGGGAATTCTGTAACAAAATGGGACCAAACTTGAATGCCCCACAGCATCCATGTGCTAGGGATAACATGACACTGATAGGACACTCAGGCTTTCCTGGACTGGCAGCTACAAACAGTGGGATAGTCCACAGCATCTCACACAGCACCAAATACTTTTGTTTTGCATACTTGTGCACAAAGCGAGGAGCATACTTCTGTCTGAGAACGAGGATTGATTCCTACACCTCCTAAACCAACCTTGTTTTAGTAAATAGGCAACGCTTTTTCCAAAATTAAGACAATGAGATAATCTTTTATAATTCACATAGTGTTTGAAACTTAAGATTTCCTAATTTTCAGTCTTCTAGAAATGAAAGAGGACTGAGAAACAGCCTTTTCTGGTCACCACAATATAAAAGCAAAACTGAAGTGTTCAGAGGCATGTTTTTGGCAACAGAAAATTTTCAATTATATCTCCTGGAACTTTATGCATTTCAAATACTTGTCTCCCTTCTGTTGAATTTCTAATAGATATTGCTCAACTTTGGCTTAATGTCCAGAATCCTTGTGCCAAATTAGGCTCTGAAGGAATCTCATGTTTAGCTGATAAAGATGATTATGTAAACAAAAATTGCTTGTTTTTCCACTTACATTTCTGTAATTCAGACAAATCAAAGCAAATCACAGAAACCAATGGCCAAATGAAAATAAGAAATCATATATATTTTAATTATTTGTGAAATCCTCTTTGGTCAGCTCTGTTTAATGTAGGACCCTTTGATCATACCATGGTAATGTCTGTATTTCAACCATCTGAGCAGTTTAGAAGCAACTTACAGCATGGGTTCCAATCAGAACCTCACTGTTCAACTGAGAGTTTCATATATTTTTGCAGCAACCCCTCTGCCTGAGCATGTTCAAGGTAGCCTTCGCAGAACATGACAATTTATGTCAATAATCCCATGGAACCACTTTAACTGACTCATAATCCTTGGCAGTCCTTGTTCCACCAGCTACCACCAATAGGTCAATCTTTATTTTTCATGACAGAGCATCTTTCATTTTAGAAATTATCTTCTCCAGAATTTTTTTATTTATCTCAAATTCTTGCAGCAGCTACACTTAAAACATCCTAGTGTGTTTATGTAATTTATAAACTCAGCTATCTACCTTAGTAAGGCAAGTGCCAATTGTGTTGTATCTTCCATATTTCTATTATAGCAATCCTATCTTAATTAACAATAAAATACATAAGCTAAATTGTGGATAGTCACAGGATGCTTATGGCATTGCATCATTACTGCACACGAGAAATAACTTACAGGATTCCTGCCTACCAATATAAAACCAGTTTTCAAGATTTAAGTGCATAATAAACTAGAAAATATTTCTCATAGAGTAAATGTCTTCTGCAGCATAGCACTAATTCATTCTTGAAGAATAACATTTTCTCCTGTGAGGTAGGATGCATATTATTCAGAGGAAAACAAAAGAGAGAAGGAAGCAGCATATCTTTACCCTCCGCACGTCTTTGCCGAATGTTTCACTGTAGCTGGTGCCCAGTATTTCAAATTGGACATAGGGGTTGGCTCCATCTTCTCTGAACTCCATAACACCAGTTAGCCCAGTTATATGACCCTAAGGAAGTAAGTTTGAGAAATTTCAGAACAGAAGACATTTGCCTTCATAAACACTCCCCTGCATAAAATGTATGTCAAATATGCTTAAATCATGTTTACAGTGAACTGAAATGTGGCCCTTGCATGTTCTTCAGTAGCTCAAACCCAGCAGTAGACAAAAGATTTCAATATTTCAATTTCTTTCAGAAAAATACTTTAGCACTAATGCACCCAGCGTTTATGGCCATCAGGTCATTACTGTCCACAGAAATAGACCCAAATAAAAAGAGAAGGGACTTAGTGGACTGCGAGGCAACAGCCCTCCCAGTGTAACTGAGGGCAGTGGGCTCAGTTCTTGGCTTGAGAACCAAGGCATCAACTCCCAGCCCAAAACAAGGGGCATGCCTGCTGTGCTCCCAAGAGAGGCACAAAGGAAAGATAACATGGCAACTCTGTGAAACTACCAGAGTTTGATTCTGGCTTTGTAGCAAAGAAACTATACCAAAGTTCAAATTAATTTAGCAACAAAGGATGGCATCATTAGGACTTGTCAGAATGATCAAATTGCATCATTTTAGCAAAGGAAAATTATTTCATCAATATATATTTGGGACCAGGCGGTTTCTTCTGAAAAACTGCAAAAGTTAGTATAGTAACAAATTAGGGTTTTTTGTATTATTGCTTGTGATCAAGTTACTTTTACACAAGAAGTTGCCAAGTATCTGCAAAGCCATAGGTCTGCCCACCTTTGAGTATTTCAGCATGGTGCAAGACAGTGTAACTGTTAGTGACAGCTTAGCCAAATCAGATCCTTTCTGCTCTGCTCTGGGCTACAGTACAAAAGGAGATCCTTACTAATGCTCAGCTAACATACAAAGCTATCTGAGCTGTCGAAAATGGAACATAAGTCATAAATCTCATCATTAGTTTCCCCTCATGCCCCCTCCAAGCTCCTTAAGTTATCCTCCTGCAAAAAATGCATGAATCAATGCTTATGACAACTCCTGATCCTACTTTCTCCACAGAAGGCAGCTACGAGAATAGAAGCAGAACACGCACCACTGGATCAACACTGCACTGTGTGTAGCTTGTTTATCATAAATCAGATGCTTGTTTAATAGCTGTAGATTGTCCTTGGTCATTGTAGATCACTTGTTTGTAACACATCGAATAAAAGTTGAATAGAAGTTAAAACCTTCTTCAAATGCTCAAATAGACATGAAGCACTCATTCAATTGCTCACACAATGGTGGTTTGTCTTTTCTCACCTTCTTAATAGTCTCTAGCATGGATCTTCCTCCATTCCAAGGTTTGGTGGATTTCCTCATGCAGTTCAGACTTGCCATGCTGTGCCATTTTCTGTCCTCCAGTTTTCTGTGGAAAGCATTGGCCAGCATGAGCACACTGTCATACAGGTACAGGTTGGAAACCTGCAAACAATAATAAGAATAAGCCTCTTTTTTTTATGGCAGCACCCTCCAAAGAAATTATCAAAAACCAGCAGAGAAAACAAAAGAAGGCATAAGAACTAAAAGCTGGGTATGTTTGACATGTTCAACAGTCAAAGCATTTGAGACAAATGCCTGTGCTCCTGAGCCCCTCTGTCCAAGAGATTCTGGCACACAGGCACTGCCTGAGCGTTACTGCAATGCAGTGCTGTAAAGAGAGATCACACTCCACATATAAACTCAAACTACAGAGGGAGTACAGCTATCTATCAATGAAAGACAAGGATTGCTACTTTTTCAGCCCTTTCAGCAAGGAGAGACAGAATGGAATTAAGTTCTTGGGTGTTCTATTCATTTGAGCAACTCGTAATTTCTGGAACAGCAAAATCCAACACGCACACAACTCCTTAGAATAGAAGGAGGAGAAATGACAGTATTACTTTGGTCTTAGCATCTCTTTCCACCAAATATGCATGAGACAGGTTATGAGCTACTTTCCCTGGAGCTACTGAATTTAGCCTCCTTATACTTCAATTCACATGAGAGATACAGAAATAAACAATTGATGACAAAGACTCCAGTAAGAACAGAACACCAGACTAGTAACGCTGAGCTATGTATTTAATTTTTCAAACCAAGACATGTCTAGCAATACATTATTAGATCTTTTGACAAGCAGTGGTATCCATCTCAAATGGTAAAACTTTAGTAGAGAAAGTTGGCTGAGACAAGTGATTTAAAAAAAAAAATTGAATACTCTCTACCTGTTCCCAGAGTTTACATGCACTCTCCTTCAAACATGTGCACAGGGGGTTAGATTTAGTCTTTACTAAACCCAAATCTCCACTTTACATCATTGGCCAGATACAGCTTTTTCTGTTAATACAGCAACAACAACAACACTAATACTAATAATAATAACAACATTTCTTTGAGCTGTAGGCTTTAATAATGATCATCCCTGACATTTATCTCCTGGATTTTTCTAGCTCACCTTAGAAAGTAATGCCTAGAGACCAGGAAAGGGTTGCAGGTGGAAGTTAATTCAGCTGCACACTTCCTATAAATGTGACTCTCTAGGTGTCCCAATAAAAGTGTCATTCTATGAAAGCTTAGACATATATTACTGTTGAATCATTGGCTGCAAGTAAACTTCTGATGTCTCTAAGATGCTAATCTTCAGAAACAAAATGTTTCATGTTCCATAATCTGGAGTTTGACATAAATTGAAAACCTAGGTACTTTGAAATATCTTCTAGTATAAGTATATCTGAACAGAAGATATCTAAGCAAAAGTTAATTTTGAAAGAATCAAAATACAGAGAAAAATAAAAGATATTGCAAATACACACTTATTTAATTGACTAAGCATAAAAAAGGATCTTTACATGAAAACAATGCAAAACCTATGAGATACTACCAGGGAGAATCTCTCTCATCTAGCATTGCCATCTTTTTTCCCTTTTCTTTCCAGCCTTGCTGAACAAGCACTCCAGTGCTTGGTTTGCTAGCAGAGAGCTCTAAGGCAAAATACAAGATGCAGTTGGGTACACTGTTTTCTGCTTTTCATGTGCTTGGAGAAGACACCACCGACTGACAGAGCCTGGGAGAATTGCACTGAGGATCTCAGTGTGCATAACCTTGCACCCAACTCAAATTACCTCCTGCCGCAGAGCAAAACAAAACAATCCTGTGTTTACCAACCTAATCCTCACCGTTCAGCTAGACCTTTAATGGACTTCACATCACTATTGTTCCATTAATTTCATGTGAAAGAATGCTATAAACTGAGAGATAGAAAGATGGGGTCTGCACAAGAGGAGTCTCCACTTTTTGTCCTTATTATACATCTGGAGGTCTGTACCAAAGCAGAAGAAAATGTTATTGAGAATATACTAGGGTACTTTTTTTTGCCATGGAAAGAATATTCTGCATGTTCTGTTGTATTATCCACTGGTATTTTGCCACTCTGGTTCTCTTTTGCTGAAAGCCTCATTCCAAACATGAGTAAATTATGCTTTATAATCAGCAAAATTCCTTCCATCATATAATCATACTCTATTTACTCCAGTAAAAATGACATGCATGCATAACTATATTTTACTCATTACTCACTGAAGAGGCAATATCTATGGAAGAGTAAGTTGCATCTTACTCACACAATCAACACCTCTATTTTAGAGCAGAAAATATGCAAGCTAGGAAAAAACCAGCACCAAAATTTCCACAACTAAGGCTGGATCTTTAATAGCTAAAAAAAAAAAAAAGAAAAAAGACACAAGCATTCTGGCCTGATCTCACAGTAAATTCAGGACTCTAATAGTTTTCTTTATTACATTCAAAAACAGCAAAATCTCTGCATATGTCATAAATCATATTCGCAATATGAGTTTCCTGTAACTTCCAGAACATACTGTGAAAAGAAAAAGGATTCACCAGACATGGTCTGTATACCCTTGTTACTGGACCTGCACACATATCTTAATTTTCAGTGAACTGTCAAGTTCCCTATGAGTATGGACTTGACCACTGAAAAGGAATTTTTGAGATACCCAAGGGTTCAGCTGTACTCTGATTCCACCAGTACTGTCAGAGGCATAAGAAAATAGTTAATTTTAAAAATTCATCTTCAGGCAGCATTCAGAATAGGTAGAAAAGCAAGACAGAAGCTAAACAAGGCAACATACTTGGCTACTTTGGGTTTTCAAAGCTCTGGAGCATTTTTTTAATTTCCCTATTTGGATATTCATAGGGGAGCAGAGGAAGAAAGGACATATCTTTCTGAAGAGATTTCCCTTAACAGAATAAAAATTCCTAGACTAGAACAAAGTACATGATTTTGGTCATGTTTGGAGGAAGTGACAGTAGTCTTTAGTTCTGCTTTCTCTCCATTGCTGACAGTGTAAGAGCTGGAAGTACTGAAATGGTTTTTGATCTATCTGCTATAAGAATGATGGTTACTGCTTCACCAATATGCTAAAGAATATACCCTGTATATTAATAATTTTAGGCATGTTCTGGTTTATCTTCTGGAAATTATTCCATACTTTATGAAGCTCTTTTTTGCACTGAAGAAATAAATCCACCATACACTAGTAGAGCACAGCAGAAATTCTCAAGAATGGAAATCTATCACAGTATTAAATGTCATTTCATGGAAGTTTCTATGTGAATTTCATGAGATTGTCCAGAATTATTTTACTTTTAAAGTTATTTATGAAGAAAGCTCTTAGTTCCTTCAGAGGGACTAATCACAGACAAGTGCTCTTCTGAGAAGGCCAGCAAGCCACAAAGACTGACCCCAACTCCTGAGTGGCCAGCAGAGCCAGGAATCCAGCCAGAGATCAGCTGGAAGGCAAACTGACACTGAGATGCCTCTACTTCAAAAACTCATTCCCAAGCTGGGCATCTGTACCCTGCTTCTGCCAAAACTGCTCTGTGAGTGGTCACAGCAGTCAGCTCCAAGGATAAAGCAGATGGAAGAGGAGTTCAGAGGAAGTGCAGCCTGCCAGAAATGCCTGCTGCCTGAGGAGAGAGATCATGGTGACTGCTATGGACACCCCAGCATGCCCTAAACCTGTGTGTCAACTTCCACAGTTCAAGTACTGCCCAGTGCATTTGCACATTTGTGTCTCTAAAGACAGAGTGCATCTTGGCAGGAGCAGCAAAGATTGATGGTTTATTTATGGTATAATGGTGCTAACAAGGATATTGTTAGAGCAGAGGAACTGAAAATTTGACTTGTTTTGTTTCCTTAAATGTGTTTCAAAGAATGGCAGAATTTCTTGGGTTGGAAGGGACCTTTAAGATCATCTAATTCCACCCCACCCCTGCTGTGGGCAGGAATGCCATTCACTAAACCAGGTTGTTCAAAGCCCTGTCTATCCTGGCCTTGGACACTGCCAGGGAATGGGGCATTCACAACTTGTGACTGGAGGACTTGCCAGTGAGAACTGAAGCAAATAAATAATTTTTTACTTCAGATTCCTCCTTATCCTGTGTAACCAAGTCTCCTATTTCCATTCAGAGGGTCCATATTTTTGCTCATTTTCTTTTTATCACCAACTGCACATATAGAAGATTTGGGGTTTCACCTGAAAATCATGGTCAGGCTTAATTCTCTCCAGGCTTTAGTTTTCTAAACGTGATCCCTGACTGCTCATACAATTTCTTTGTATTTCCTACCAGTTTTCTGTCCCAGATTCCAGTCTCTGTAGACTGCCTTTTAGTATTTTGAGTTTGTCCAGGAACTACTTGCTCATCCATGCAGGCCTCCTGGCATTTTTGACTGACTTCTCTTCCTTCTGGATCCTCCTCAGATCACTCCAGGCTGTATCACTGCATGGATCAACAGCAGCAGATCATGGTCAGTGGGCTGTAGGAGGCCTTGTAGGCTCTCAGTCCCATCCCTGGTACAATGTCATATCAGGTGCCTCCATGGTGCCTCCATGTCTCTCAGAAGAAAGTCACCTGCTGCTCTCACCTGCTGTCTTTTCTTAGTTGAGCCAAACGAGGAGCAGATGAGGCTGCCTTACTCAGCTCCAGCCTCTCCCCTGATGTGAAGGGTCTTTTCAGCCTGCAAGTGGTCAAGTGGCTCTGCAATGTCACATCAGGCTTTGGGGAAAGTCTCTTCCCCCTGCAGGTTTTGCAAGTTTTCGCTCTCTTCATCACTCTCCCTCCCTCCCACATGTGCCAGCAGGGAAGTTTGGATCTGTTTAGCTGTGGGTCCACTGCAGACTGCGCTTGGAGCCAGCTCTCCACCTCATTCCCAGCCTTGCTGATGTTCCTCCCCCTTTCCATGGGCTCCTGCAGCTCAGCCAGGCGTGTCTGGAGGTTCCGTGCCTGGACACACCTTTCACGGGCAGGGGCATCGCGAGATGGGGCCCGGCCATTCCTGGAGGCTGAGGCCTGCGCCGCGGCCTCTCCCTTCAGCAGCCCCAGCTGGTGGAGGCACACAAAGTGCCACACCACACCCCTGTCCC